ATAGGGACATGTCCCTACCAAAATTTTGGACGGACCTATTTGTCCCTAACAATAATTGGATGTGAACAACATGTTTATAATTTACTATACAGCAGCCGCTTCTTTTCCTCTCGCAGCTTCTCTGCCTGGTAGCTGCAGCTGCCTGCTCTTTCCTTTCCCTTTCACATAGCAGCGCATCAACTGTGCTGCGCTGTTTAACTCTCTGATTATTCTGCCTTAAGTTCCGCCTTCTCTCTTTCTGATTGCGTGTTTTCTAGTCTGTATGTGTGCATGCGGGGGTACTGAGAGCGCGAAAAAAAAGACGCTAAAATAAATTAATATTGGGCTACGAAACTAGTCCAAATTAAAAAAAACGTATTATCTACGCTAAAACAGGCAAACGCTTCTGATTGGAGTTCTGTAAAGAAGTAGGAGAGAGTTTTTTGATTTGTGGAACTTGAGAAATGTAAGTTAACAACGTTAGGATTTCTTTTCTTTTATCTTTTAATCAGATAGCCAAACACTCCTTAAAGAAGATCTTTTATGAAATGAAACCAGGTGAAACAGAAACGTTTAAACGTTTCCTTTGGAGAAGTTCTGGATGGAGAATATTGACAGACAAAAACAATTTTTTTTTACTTCTTAAATGCAAAATGTTTACATATTTTTTACAATCTTGGTATAATTCCTGCTCTAAGTGGGTCGCTCTGTCGGCTAAAGGCACATTTTAGTGGCCCTATATTCCAGTTAACGATTAATCAATTACATAGTTCACGATTATTTAAATAATTTGTTAATATGATTAATTGTTTCAGCCACAGATAAAATACATGATAATAGCTACACAGAGTAACTACAGCCCAGATGTACAACTTCTAATATTAATATTTTAAATGCTCAGTGTCAGTTCATCTTATAGTTCCAGTGCACATGTAAATACAATACATTTATTTGCCGTCCCTTGAATGTATTATTTTGCATGATCCAGAGAGAGCATATTAGATAAAAAAATAAGAGTGGGTTTTACCTCTGCACAACTCTATATCTTCAGAAGAAAACACAGGATAAATCCACATATGATAGACTATATTTGGTTAAACAGACACTGTCTTAGTAGCAGGTACATTTAAATGCAATCCTTTTCAAAGTGGAAAAAGTCCTAATTCCACATTCATCAGAGCCAGTTATGCTTTAAATATTGATAAACAGCATCTAGTGCATGTAGTGCTTATAAGATTTGTATTAATATAGCAAGAAATGCTGCTGTTCTCTTTAAACAAAATGAGCCCTGAAGCTCACATTAAGCATAAAAAAGAGCATGCATATTTTTGCAAAGGACCAATGAAACTGAAGAATAGTGTCCCTACCAAAGTTGAAATCAAACCTACGCCCTTGCATCTGTACACTTTACGGGACGCGCTTCAGGTGATGCTCTTGAGACGGGTCTGACCTTAATGTGTACTAGCATTAAAAATTAAGCAGCAGGAGATTTTTTGCTGCTCAAATCACAGTGTGAACGTAGTATTACACTTTCTGATTGTTAGAATTACCCTATGAAACATATTATTATATCTGAAAGTGATCTCATGATCTTTCTTATGAAATTTTGCCCTCTAATCAAGCACACCTACTTCCCATAATCAGGACAAAAGTTGTGTTGTAACAAAGAAAAAAAGTTAGCTGCATTCCACCTCAAAATGCAGGAAATAGCATTTCAGAGTCTAAATTTCAAAATGGTCAGGGGGAGGATACACCCAGACCCCCGTACACCATGCAAAGCCCAAAGATGTGATACACCAAGGTGTCCACCATACCAAATATTCCTGGCTAAAAATCTGCTGTGGGAACTGTGTTTTTACTGGACACCCTGGCTTGAACAACACCCCAGCAAGTACTCAATATGGTTAAGGTCAGGACTATGAGGCCTTTCCATCTATTACATTCCCAATTAATGAAGGTAGTCTGATAGATCTTGCTTTGATGGGGGGGGGGGGGGACTTTGTCATCTTTAAAGACCGTTTTGTCTTAAACTTTGGAGAAGTTAGATTGACTTTAGTTATAGAACCTCACCTTGATATCTGTCTGCACTAAAAATTCATCCGGTAATTACAAATAGACTTTTCTTTCCAGTGAGAGAGATGTTGCCCCACAGCATTACACTGTCTCTGCCAAATAGAGTCAGAGTAATGCCCATATTCAACTCTGCTGCTAAACCTGTCAATGCATTTCCTTGCATTTGAGGCAATATAGCTGGATTCCCAGTTTTAAAGACATATTAAAGAAATACATTAATAAAATAGGGATAAATTCAATCTAGTTTGAATTTAATTGCTGAATAATTTTGATTTTATTACACTTGAATGTAACTTGGTCATAAGCTAAATCTGAGGGTATCGGGGCAACAGAAAAAAGGACTCTGCACATAGCGCAAGTCAAAACATAAAGTCCTTTTAAATATTCAAATGGAAGCTACCTGCCTGCAGCAACATCAAATAAATAGACACAGCCCTAAGCATCTACTCCTGCCACGAGTGCAATTAAGGGTAAAACTTCCAGTCTCTTATTCTTGCTCTAAGAGTAAGAGGTCTAATTAGTGATGACATTAGTGTTCACTGTAAGTCACCAACATGCAGCAAATGAAACACCCTAATATATCACAGCCTTTTTTAGCAAAGCCCCAAGGATATACCGCTCAAAATAAAACATAATGACCACAGATGTGTTACAATGAGTTGAGAATTTAGGGTTAAATAAAGAGTATACACAAAGTGAAAATAAATAATGGATAACATATGTCTTCCAAGAGCGCAGGACATAATGTTCTCTTGCTGAACAGACCAGAGACAGAGGACTGATCCACACCGCAAACACCAGCTTTCAGGTTTTCTTGACAGCTTACACACAAGCTCGCAAAAACTTCACACACACATTCAAATACATGTTCAATATTTATTATACTTTGGATAGCTCCACCTCTCTTATTCTCTTACATCACACTTTCCTTTTTTAACCAAATCAAAAAATAGAGCAAAGTCAGGAAAACATTCAACTCTAAATTGTATCTATCAGCGCTTTCATGTCTGATGCTGCAATTCAATTTTATCATACTGTTATTTTGATAGTGATTGAAGTCTTATTCAGAAGAAAAAAGCAGAAGTTCAAAGATGGTGTATATACACAGGTGTACACAGGTTTAAGAAGCATGCAAAGAAAAGTGATGCATCTAATGCAGTAAAAAAGCTACAATTGTGTTTAAATAATTGGCCAAGCAAATGTCACATGGTCAAAGAAAATGTATTTCCTCAGACTATACCAGATAAAACTTTAAGCCAGAATGGAGTGAAGACCGACTTAAGCCAGATTAAGCTGAAGTAGGTAGAGCATCCACAAGTTATACTCAGGTTAGAGTAGTGGTACTTTATTTTCAAGAAAAAGTACATAGTAGTCATCAAGAAATTACTCAAATAAGAGCTTAAAAAGTATCTAGTGAAAAGGCTACTTGAGGTCTGAGGATGATCATAACTGTTTTGATATTTAAACCTCTGCAGTCAGATACTATACACACATTCTGGTATTTTAAACTCTGAAATAAAATAAAAAAATAGAAATAGATAGCACGATTACATGATTGATCTAATGCAGAAGAAACACATTTCCAAATCCTTCAGATTTTCAATGTAAAACTTGAAACCTGTGATTTTAGTAGAACAGGGTGCAGATCTTCCACTGACAACAGCTACTGTTTACTCACCTGATCACTGTGCATAGAGCAAGTTACTCACTGTATGTGGGGTAGCAAGACATTTTACTCAAGTAGGGATACTTCACAGGGATATTACTCAAGTCAAATTAAGAGGTACTGTACAGTAAAACTACTCCCAAAAGGTTTTTTATGTTTTCCCCAAATGTTACCCAAGTTAATGTAAATTAATAAATGTAACTAGTAACTACCCACCTCTGGTTAATAACAAACTACAATATTAGTCACAATAGATGACCTAGTATGACATTATTACTTTCATAAAAGTTACATTTAAAAAGTAAAGAAAAAACAACTGCACAGACTAAACCTTTGGAATATTCTACAGTTTAAATGAGATGTGAGAGATAACTTGTCTGTTTGAAAATATTTCCAGTTGGGAAAAAAAATAGAGAACAAGTCAATTATATTAGGGTAACACAATTTAAGGCGGAAATAAAGTGTGTCCTTTAATTAATAAGTTAAATAAAGGATAAAACATATTGATAGGAATCTCATTCTCCCCACATAATAAAAGCAGCCTAAATATCTTAATAAATATCTTTTTTAATAGGGTTTAGTAACATTGTACATAAAATAAAACAAGGAGTGATCCTAAAGTATCTTTATTGTACTTATCAAATCATATGATTATTTTTTCCCCTACAGAGCTGCAACTAGTTTAAATCCATATCAATACTTTTTATTACATATAACTAGAAAAGCAAATTTTGCTCCATATTGTGACTTTCACCCATAGCTATAAGGATCTGGATCATTAGTACATTTTAATGAATTGTTCTTTGGTATGAGGGGACCCTCATTAAAATCTGCCCATTACTTTAATGTTATACTTTAAACTGACAAACAAACACTCTCCTAAAAACATAATCTCATTGGCGTAGGTAAACAAAGCTGGTAAGTTATATCTTATTTGTTTATCTTTTTTTGTTTTGTTTTTACTGCACTGCACTGCAAAAAATAGAAATCTAACCAAGTCCTTATATCTTAAAATAAGTGCATTTTTTCTTAAATTGATGAGGTTAGTGAGAGACTTTACCAATGGACAAAACCATTTACATTTAAAATAAGAAAAAACAAATGCATTGTCTTATTTCAAGTGCATATTATCTAATTATCTTATTTCAAAAGTAAAAATACTCATCCTTTTGGCAAATAATCTTATTTATCTACTTAATTTAAGAGGAAATACTTTCTGCAACAGGCTGTGAGATGACCAATATTAAAGTTAAACATCACTTTTTTAATCTAATGTACTCACAACACGTTGACGGTCGGCGGTAAGTCAGCGGCCGCTGGGGCCCTTTCCAGCCCGATGTTGGAGCAGTTGACCACGCAGAGCCGCTGCGGCCCTGCAGGCGCACAGCTGCAGTTAACGGGACAGGGGCTGCAGCTGCCGCCGCCGCCGGCTCCCTGCGGCCCGGAGCCCCACACCTCCAGACAGCAGAGCGCCACAAGCAAACTGGGGAAGAAGCTGAACTTTGGGACCCAGACGCCATCTTCTCGCTTGGATAAAGTCTGTCCATTTCCACCAGGCATAGCTCACTCACATCTCATTTCCTCTGATGGTGCTAAGTCCCCTCAGGTTGGGAAGAAAGAAAAACGCACTCCAAGAAGAACAGAATAAAATCCCCCTCTTCACGGCTTTTAGATTTCAGAGACAGAAAACAAAGACAGGAGGGATTAATTTGGACTTTGTAGTCCACTTTTGTCTTCTAAGCAGAGTTTAGACTTTTCTTGATCATAACCCCCTCCTCTAGAAATCTAACGGGACGTCTCCAGAGTCCTTTCAGAGAGAAAAAAAGTTTGGGAGAACTTCCTCTCTCCTCCTCCCTTCACTCCATGCAGTTCCCACAGCAGCCACTGAGACCCGGCTGTCCGCAGAAAGGAGAACATTATCAGTTTATTTACAGCTGGTGCTTTCAGAGTGTGAATTCTTTTAGAAATTCTCTAAAGTAGGTTTATTCTTTACTTTATAACAGTCCCTCCAGAAACGTCCAAAAGTTGTGATACAACACTTCCTATAATTTTGGGAGGGATTGTTCTTTTCTTTCTATCTAAAAACAGCTCTAATTTCAATCTGAAAAACTTCCACGAAGAGAAAAGACAATTAGAAGAAACTTATTGATACAATTACTTTGTCTTTGGCACTCAGACCTCAGCAGGAAACAAAGTGCTTAATTTTGATAGATATGCATGAACAGGAGCAAAGAATAGGGCTGTTTCCCTCCAGGCCTGAAACTTGTGGTGGATGGGAGATAGATGAAGTTGGTCAGTCTGTAGACTGCTGGTTAGCGAGATGGTATGCTGAGCTTTATTGGGAGATCCAGTGGATTGCGTGAGCTGATACTAGAGCTTCACTGGAAATTGGACCTGGAAGTCCAATTTGGATAACACAGGTTGAAAGAAACTGTCCATGATTGGCAAGCATGGAGCGACAGTGGAGAGGAAAAACTTTTTTTTACCTAAAATAATGAGGGACAATGGGCTACCTCTGCACCGCCAATCTGGCAGATAGCGCTGTGGAGCCCTTTTGCTGTGCGGAGCAGTGCCTGTAGTTGAGGCAGTCACAGTTGGAACAAACAGGGTTTTTCCATACTTTCAGTTTAAACAAAAACTCCTTATCAGAGGATCTAAAATATTAGTATTCAATCATTTGATGACTAACTTTTTACATTTTTAATTTGACATCTAATTTTTCATTAACTGAACAGATTGCTTGCCTGAATTGGTTTTCTCTCTTTTGGACTTTCTAATTCTAAGTAATTTGGATGAGTAAAAGGATTCATTCCCAACTCCACCTTTACTGACATTATTATAATTTCTTATATCTCAGTGTATGACTTTGCTTTTTATAAGATCAATTCTTAAAATATTTTTGGTCACCATGGTTATTTTATTGCTCTTTGAAAGCCTAACCATAGGGCAGTCAATGGTTTACATGCTTTTCCAGCTCTTACTCCTCGTTAGGTTTGAAAAATTAATGAACGCTGCCCCTCATGGAGAGCATTGTTTCATTTGTAGAAAGACATTACATAGAGTTTGACTAACAATGACGATACATTTTAGAATAAAAATGATATTGAAAATATCTTAAGGGCAAAATCCAAGCAATTTTAAATATGGGGGTATATTTAGATATCAATAACTACTAAAGTTCTCCCTCTGATTTACCAAACCTTTGACCAGCAGTTTATGTCTAATATGCTGATATAGAGTACCAGCAATTAAAAGCAGATTGACACTGTACAGTCAAGGAAACTGACCTTGGTTACAAACTAAAGCGTATAGACAATAGGTGAATAACATGTTTTTAAAAACATATTTTAAATACATGGAATCCTGAAAATGTAATTTTTTTTTTTTAAAGTTGCCCATACATAGATCAAGTCTAAAAAAAAACTTGCCTGTTACAACATACACACTTACTTTTAATGATTACTAAACTGCATATAAAATAAAAAGAAACAGAGCAGTATGAGGTTAGAAAATAATTGCTTTTCTATTTTAGCCAAACAGATATAGAATTATGTCAATTAATATCAACTTGTCGTAGGACCTTTAAAAAAAACCTAACTGCATGGACAAGCTTTAATTCATGGATACTATGGAAAGCTACTATGGATTCTTTCTGATCTTAAGAGGTTCAAAAATAAACTGTTTTCTCTGATAAGTTAGAATATTATTGAAAAGTCAATTTAAGTAATATACACAAGGTACTAAATGAAACACATATATGTTAATCTCTTACAGACTAATGTTTAAAAAAAATATATTTTCTATTTTCCATGAATATTTTGCACTAACTGATAAAGAAACACTGTGGTCTTAATAAAAAATTAGTTTTAAATGCTTTCTTCAAAAGGAATCTCCTCATTCTGAAAGGCACTGTGCGATTAAAGAGCCTGAGCAGAAAGCATACTTAAACAGTTGAAACACTATTGAAACTAGATTTTTAAATAAACTGCCTGTAAGCATATCATCTTATTTTTTCTTCTGGCATTAAATGAAATTACGCTTCTTTCTTTTTTTTTTTGTATTAGGTCAGTTGGACATTATTTCCTTTATGTAAGTGTTTTCAGAGAATTTTGATCCCTTTAGTCAAAGTCAGACATTTACATACAGTAAAATGAGTTAGAAATAATTTTTAAAAAAGCAAACACGATGATGTCATGGTTTGTAAGCTTCTGATTGGTTAACCAATATCAGTTGAGGTAACTGCAGTCAATGGTTTACATGCTTTTCCAGCTCTTACTCCTCGTTAGGTTTGAAAAATTAATGAACGCTGCCCCTCATGGAGAGCATTGTTTCATTTGTAGAAAGACATTACATAGAGTTTGACTAAATTGCTCTAAGAATTTTCAGGTATGTGACAAAGTGAATCGCATCCTTTTCTTATTGTCTAAGATATTAATGAGGAATAAGAGCAGAAAAAAACTAAAATGCTGGGAAAGTAGATGGTTTATACTCACTAAATCTCTTCTGACCAAGCAGCATTTCCCCGTCACACCCTGTTTCCAGGGTCGTTATGCTCTTAATATAAGCAAAAGTGCAGCAGTCCAGTATGTCATTAAAAAGCGTTTGGGTTACACAGCTGGGTCATTAGCACTTACTAGCTGTCAGATGTACCCTGAAGAATTTTTATTTACTGTCTTTATATGTATGTGCAGTCCATGAAGAATTACTGCATATTAAAGTGAATTTTACTTGCTTAGTGCAGGACTGCTCTTCATTTTATCTTACTGGATAATAGACTAATTTTTAATTGGCTGGGGAGTAACAGAAGGCAAGACTGTATTATCACAAAAAGGTTTTGAAGTGTGCTACATAAGCAGTGGAAATTGAGTAAAAGAGCTCTTGGAGGACGGTTGGAACTGATTTTTTCCCATTTGAATCACAGCTTCTCCCTTTTGTTTTCTTTTATGTTTTCACAAACCAGCACTGCATATTTATCCATGTTATGGAAAAAGTCAACTACTGTATTTTTTCATTTTTATTGTTTTATTAACCCTGACCAAGTATATATAACAATCTGTGATATTATAAGCTCAGCATACATGATGTCGAAAACAGCTACAAAAATATCTCAATAACAATTGTATAAGGAGTGTAATACTTGCTGTGTTGAGAATGGCGTTAGATATAATGATCAGTTTATTTTGCGGAAACATTTTACTGAAGTTAACATTGTCTGTTTTTCTCAAAGTGCTCCCTTAAAAATGACTTTTATTTGACAGTAAGAATGATTGCAGGACTAAAGACAATGTTAAAAATGTGTCAAATGTGATAGGAAGGCTTCAGAGCCAAATGCTCCTCCCTTTCTCTCTGCAGTATTTCCTGAAGCTGTGCGTGGCACGTGTTTGGGGCGTTTCCCTGGTGTTTGGATTGGCCGAGTCCCACCACTTGTCCCTGCAGGCATCTGGAGCTTCTCACAAAGAAAAGAATCAAACACAATTCCTCTCTTATCCTTGCTGACATCAGTTCAGCATATTAAGATCATACTTCTAAAGAAAACACGTGTAAAAGGAGGTACTGAATGTTCCAACTCAGGTAGATAAGTTGGTGACTTTGAAGGTCTTTGGTTTCGGAAATGTTTGCTTTTTCTTCCACTCTCCCAGAATATTTGAGGCAACGGGATGCATATTTTTAAACATTTTACAGCATCATCGACAGTTTGAATTAGGACCATATTTACAGAGCTGTTTCAGCAATGTAAAAATCCATACCTTCACTTAAAAACCAATGATTTCTTTTTGTTTTTTTAAATGATAAAACACTGATGAGGACACAGTGACCCAGTTGTTATAGCCATATGATACCCGCTACCGCTGCATGATGCTCTGTTCTTTCAAACCAATATTAGGTTTTGACTCTGATCATAACCTGATATAACACTGCAGCATGAGAAGCTATCCTGCAAGCATTTTCTTTCTTTGTCCCTCTTGTGCTTTGTGAGTCATTTCTATGGTTAATTAAATTAAGTTTAATCAGGGTTTGATGTTATAGACTCATAGATCTGGATTGTGGTATTAACTCCCACAGTTTGTTTTTGTAATCATGTTTTTTTTTTTGACATAGTATTGTTATTCTCCCAAATAACAAAGCTAGAAAGGACCTTGGTGTAGATGAAGGTTTTTGTGGTTACTATTTTGGTTGTTTTTGTTTTGCATTTTTTCCTTAACCTGGAAATCAAAATACTTACATTTTTTACACTATCCATGACATATTTCTGGTTATTCTTTTTAAAGGGTTTTGTTTCAAATCTCTGCTGGAGTTTGGAAGTTTTTCATGTATATACATGGCTTCTCTCCTTTTTTTTTTCCCAGCAGCATCTTTCCACCAGTATTACTTGATAGAGACGTATGCATATTTGTTTGGAAATCTTCCTTTATTAAAAGAAAACAAAAGATGAATGCTTGATGTATATGATCTCTTTTTGTTGAAATTCTTCCCTTTTAAGGAAAATCTCTGTGAAATCCATCTAACACACTGAGAATCTACCACTCAGGAGTCCACAGAGGAGCTGCCGCCAAACCCACCCACCATTAGGATGTGCTCATTATACCTCTCACCTCCAAGGAGAGATACTGAAATGTGTGATAGAGGGGCTCCAGACTAAAGAACTCATTCATTTCCTCTGTGATTAAGCTTCTAACAGCTGTTTTGCGAATTGCATGCCGCAGATTTCACACCTTTTCACAACAGTTCTTTATATTTAAGGATATTTGTATTCTGTTGGCATGGATCTGCTTTTCTGTTAATCCTTGTTTTCCTTTCA